TTTCCAAGGTCAAGGTAATGTAAAACAGTCATCAGGGATTTCATTACATTTCAAACTCTGAAAATTAATAAATTGCACCAGGACCTTACCATTTGTGGTTTCAATTATCAAAGTTTTTGTGTTTTTAAACTTTTTAGGAAACTAAAACTACTTTGAAAACATATTTCAAATTAGGAAAAATAAAAGCAAAAACAATATAGAAATAAGTCTTTTATAAAAATAGTATTTCAGAAATATTAAAAAAATCAATTTAAATGTCCTCAAAGCCATCATCAGATCCTGAAAGGGAAAAACTAAAAAAAAACAAAAAAAAATTTTTTTACTTTCATTGACTACTGAAATGTTTTTTTGTCTAATTCATTTCATGTTTACCAAGTAAATCAAATATAGTGGAAAGAGTTGCATCTCATCTGTCATCAAATTGGCTTATGGTACAGTAAAATATTGTTTATTAAAGTAAATGTTGATTATATGATAGTCCCATTCTACTTTTAATAAAAAATTATTGTTTTTTTCCTACAAAAAAATTTTGACATTTTTCTTTGTAGTAGAAAATTTAATTAAATCTTTAAAATATGATGTCATTTTCCTGATAATACATGTTTTGATATAATTAGTATATATTGTTCATTATTATCTCTGAATTTCACCATCTAAAAGGAGTGGTAGGGTTAGAATTTATCTAATTTGGATAACAAAGTCCTAGTGTATTTGATTTTAATTTGTGTCTTGAGGTTCTTGTAGATTGCAAAGAGTTAAGAAAACCTCTTGAAAACATTCTTAACATGAATTTAATATACATATCTTTTTTTTAAATACATTGTTATATTTATCTATTACTGAATGTAATATATTAATTATTAATAATACTACTGAATGTAATATATTAATTATTAATAATATTACTGAATGTAATATATTAATTATTAATAATATTACTGAATGTAATATATTAACTATTAATAATATTACTGAATGTAATACAATAATTATTAATATATTATGTATATCATTTATATATATTAACATTTTAATTTAATTTTGTTATATTTAGAATTTTTTTTTAATGTATTCAATTCACCAAGTTATAAATAATTAGCATTTAGTAGCTAATGCATAATTAATATTGTACACACACACACACACACACACACACTTATATATCTTTTGTTGTTTCAAGTTTTTTTTAAAGTCAAGAAACTCCCATCCTCTATCTTAAAAACAACTTGAAAGAGGTCGTTTGACCAACACAAGGACTGATCAAAATTAACAATAATTTTTTCATGATCCTAGCCAAAACTAGTCAAGGAACCTAAATGAAATAATAAAACAAAAAATATATATTAATATACAACCCCAGTGTTTCTGAAAATATATATGTATGTGTGTGTAGGATTAAATAAAAATGCTAGCAATTAATACTAGCAAATAATATACATCAAATTATACAATTCCAGGAAGGTTAGTTCACTGTGTCATGCTAGATGGTCTTTCTCTTCAGAATCTATCTTAGATATCTATAAGTCTACCATTCATCCATGCTTATAATATTGCTGCCACTTATGATCTAGTGCTCCTGCTATTTATCTAGAGCTCCTTGATAAAATCCAAAGAAGAATCAGAAATATTAAAGGTCCAGGTCAGGCGTCTTGGCGTCAGTCACTTTCCCACCACCATAAGATTGCCTTCTTTCGCCTTTTCTATAAATATTTTCATCATAATTGTTTGGGTGTGCTCTTCACTATGGCACCTAGATTCTTTGAATTTAAGTTTAGTAGTAGACTGGCGAGGTCTCACCAATTTACAGTTGAGCTAGCTAGATGTAACCATAAATTCTATACTAACAGTTTCTTTTCTCACACTTCTCGCTTGTGTAACTCCCTTCTGGTTTCATTCTTCCCAGCCATCTTTAATCTGCAAAAATTTAAATGCAATGTCAATCGTCATCTGCTGTCCTCCTGAATACTCTTCTTCTGTTCTTGCTCCTTTGCAATGTTCCTGATTCTAACTCTTCTACACCCAGTAACCCCTTGTGTCTTGGTGGCTTTACTGCCTTGCTTAAGTGTGAACTCAATTAAAAAAAAAAAAAAAATAATCAAATTTTACAGAACCTGTGCCAGTGAAGTGCTCAATATAAGACAAGAATAATAAATATTTAAATATAAGTAAAAACCTTCTGTAATCAATGCAAATTGTTATTGAATGACCTGATGAATGATTCAAATATTATGTAACACTCTATTGGTATTTGATAAGTATTGGATGGTTTTACTTATATTTTAACGATATGTGTGTGTGTGTGTGAGAGGATTTGATGAGAATGCAATGGAATGGTAAATATATAAAACAATTTTGTGAACTTTTATTTTAACATGTTTTACTGATTAGTTGGTATGAGCCGAAAAAACTGTTTTACTAATTTCAACAAATGAATCTATAAATAAATAAACTGAGTTGAAATTAGTAAAATCTAATTTTGAAAATGATAGTTAAAGTAAAAAAAAAAAAAAAAGTAAGTGTTCATATGAATAACAAGTAGATTTTATTGAAATAAAATTCATTTTTCTGATGGCATTAATTGATTAGTGAAACATACTAAAATAATGTCTTTCCAGATTGTTATATATAGATGTGAACAATTATATAACAGTTTTATTGTTCTGTTTTTGTTTGAGTACTTTTGACTCTCTCACTCATTATCAAGAACTAAATGTTGTCAGTATTGTAAACAAAATAAATATATTTCCTACATCATGGCATTTATCTCCCTCTCTTTCCCTCTCCCACTTTCTCTCTGTAAGAAAAGCACTCTACATAAAACATCTGGTCCCATAGTATTAATCTCACCTTTAACAAAAGAAATAACATGCTAAAAGTTTTTTTAAAAATAGAATGATACCAACTCTAATTCCAGCCATGTTCTTTTTGTAGGGCTCAGAATAAACGCTACTACTATATAGGCATCATGCAACTATAATTTAAAAAAGACAACCAGTAAAAGAAATTAACCATACTTAACAACAAACCCCTTGAAAATGGCTAAAGAAATGGCCAAAAGCACTTTGGACAATAGACACTATGGATAATTTTTACACTCTCTTACCTCCACCAAATAGAAAAAAATTAAGAATACTAGGAAAAAAACTCAATAAAAAATTCAAATTTTCCTTGTCTATCATATTCAACATATCTGAAAGAAAGGTTGCTGCCTGAATATTATCTATCTATCTATCTATCTATCTATCTATCTATCTATCTATCTATCTATATATATATATGTACATACATACATATATACATACTACAGGCAATAAGTTTTGGGCCACCCTGTGTTCCTTTAAAAAAAACACCTTAAAATGAGAAAAGTAAAAGCTAAAATTTCAGTAACTGCAGTGTATTTGCTTTTATTTTTCAGTCTTTCTCCAGGCTCTTCTTACTATCAAAAAGTTCAAATTTAGATTTGTCTTCATGGAGGTTTTATTGATGAAAATAAAATATGATGTTGTTATATTATAATTTTTTAATTTTTTATAGTTAAGTGCTTGTATTTTGTCAAAATACAAATACACTGTAATTCCTGAAATTTTATCTTTTACTTTAAACAAATACAAAAATCTTACATTTTAAGGTGTGTTTTTAAGAAATGCAGGGTGGCCCCAAACTTTTTGCCTTTAGTGTGTGTGTGTATATATATATATATATATAAAATGTGTATGAGTAATAGAAAAACTGTTGATTTTCAATTTTTTTATATTGCTCTAGCAATGGAATTTTGTTTGTTGCTTTTTTATTTAAATCTTGTTTGTATTAGCAACTGCATTTCATTTGTGGCCATATTATAATTTTTAGTCACCTGAATTTAGTATTATGACATTTCAATATATCTTTGATTTTTTTTTTATGTAGGAAAAATCATAAAAATGTTTTGAATTCATTTCATAATTAAAAATTTGTGAGGTAGACTCTTATCTTTGGTTTTACATTTTTGTTTTCACCTGGCCATAATTTTTTCTCTTTGTTCTTACCTCATTTGTTGATTCATGTAGCAAATATGGCCTTTTTCAGTAGACTTAATTAATTTTGAAAATATGTTGCTTCTAGGCATTTATTAAAATGACATTACATGATACAGGTTATGGTAATATTAATTGTTTGCTTATAAGAAAACATTTGGCATTTATTGACTGATCAGCTAGTGATACTTTCAGTTGAAATTTATAAAATCTTTCTCCTCAAGCAATTTTTCAGTAAAAATAGGTTTCTCAAGTTCAGTGAGTGATTTCTCTTTCCAGTATTCTTTCCTAAACTTTTGCTGGAAGATGTGTGGAATGTCAGGATGTTGAATATGTCATTATTTTCTCTTTGAGTTACTCTATTCATTTCAGTTGTTGTTGTTGTTGTTGAAAGTCCTCAAATGATGTGGTTTCTGTTATTCACTATTATCCTTTGCTTGCAATGCTGTAGTGCCAGTCCATGATGTTTGAGGAAGGATGGTCCTCACTAAGACCTACAAGCTTCATTTGAAGCTATTTTTAACCATTCTGAGAAATATATAGGTCACAGTTTTGATATTTCTGAATGAGTTTGGTGCCATGTATGGCATCCATATGAAAGTCCTTTATCTGACAAGGTTTAAGAACATAAGTTTTTAGGTTAATATTTTGGTGTTGAGCAGTACTACTCCTAGCACAGTTTATTCTGTATTCAGTTTCCTTATCCCCTATACTAAATTAATGACTATTGCATGAATCGTGTGTATGTATGAAAGTCTTAAATGCTAACTCACAGGCTTCATCTTGACACATAGTTGAAGAATCAAATTATACACCAAGAGAACTCTAAGATAGTAGACTATCGACTGTAAGATAGTTTTCCTTCTTATCTGTGCCTTGTAGGCGAAAAGGCAGTATGGTTTATGGAGCTCCCTGTAGCTCTCATGAACTGAAATTCTTCTCTTCTATAGCTCCCCTCTCTATAAGTTTCTTTTTCTTTTCTTCAAGGATGTTGTGCACATTTCAAACCCGGGACCAAGAGAAGCATGCCTCCACCAAATTTGAATTGTTGCATCTCTGGTATTTAAGAACCAATTTTCAATTCATTTATTTGTTGTATTTAGTAGTTATAAATTTAAAGCTTTAAAAAAAAAAAAAAAAAAGTTAAAAAAAAAAAAAGAGAGAATGAGAGAAAGAAAAATTATTTTTTATTTGGGTAGAGTAGTTTTATTATTTTTTTTTCTTCATGTATTGCAAAAAATGCTTGATACTTGGATTATATCACATTTTAGTCTTAAAGCTGAAAAAGCAAAGCATTGTCTTTTAAAGGTTGTTTATAACAAGTATAACAGAATCACTCTTCCAATTTAAAGCTGAAAGGAACTCTAAACATCTTTGAAACTTTATATGGAATTAATGACAGTATCTATTTTCATATTTCTGTAGCCTTTGTCCAGTGGTAAATTGGCCAGGGTGTCAGTCTGCCTGATGGCAAGTCTGCCACTGATGGAGTGGGTCTTCTATATCAAATAAAAATGCAATAAAGAAACAAACACAGACAACAGTTTTAGCAATAAAAAGGAATAAGAACTTTATAATGCCATCTACACACTATCAGTTACTCAAGTCCAATGTGAGAGGACATTTTCATAGCTAAAAATGATAAGGGCAAAGTTAAGAAATTTGCTGTTTGAGGAGAATTTGGAATCATACATGTTGATATCCATTGAAAAGGAATTGTTAGATGATTTGGATGCAGAAGCAATTATTGGCAGATTTGTACAATCATCTTGTGAACACAAATGATTGCTCTTAATATAGTAGACTGCATACAATGTTCTATTGTGCTTTTGAACTATCTGGTAATATGTAAATTGTACAGTAAACTATTTAAAAATATCAAGCAATTACTTAAAATTTAAAAAAATAAATAAAAAATTCAATTATAACAATCTGTATTTACATTTGTTATCTACTGCCAGTAATATGTACAATACATGTATACTGTACTAAGAAATACACATTTTTTTCCTCAAAAATTGTAATTTCACTCTTTTTTGAATATGTATTTTTGGACATTTTCTTTATTCATCATGAAAATTAAATGATAGCATTGTAGTCGTGAATGGGCCTCCTTTGTTTCTGGGCAACCAATAATTTTAGACCCAGTCCATCACTTCCTTTGGCCAAACTATTTAAGCAATACAATTCACATAGCAAAGTTATCACAAACAGTTTGTTATTCTGCTGTGTATTTCTTTGCATTCTATTATATTTACTTACATTTTTGGCTGTCATTTTTAAAGTTTACCAATGTAGATTCTTTTTGTATTTGTTTTTCATGACCTTAAGAAGACCACTTAGCCTGTTAGAAGTGTTTTAAAGAAGCTTTTTCAGTATGTGGTATTATCCAAATATTGCAGAAAAAAAAAACTTATTTTGCTTTTTTCTATCTTATTTAATGGCTTGCTTAATATTTCTCTTATGTTTTTCTGTAAGACTTTTAAATTCTTTCACCTGTGTTGGTCATGCTCTGTATGATAGTTAAAGTATAGTAAAACAGTATGATATAGACTAGTTGTTGAAGTAGATGGCATTTTCTTATAGTAATGATGACTTAGTTTTAGTGAAAAATAATATGCAAATTTTATATGAAAAGAAAACATAAGTTCTTGTGCACAGCCAGTTAGGTTATAGGTCATAGTATGAGTGTTTTATTCTCAATATTGTTAGTTTCATATCATACATATAAGAAAAAGCCATTGCAAATTTAGAAAAAATATTCTAAAAAAACATTTTTCAGTTTGGGATTTAAAAAAAAATATTTTTTATATTTAGGAAATGCATTCATTAATGCAAATGTCAATGTTTATGAAGTCAAATATAAGATTAATTCAGATTCTTTCTGTAACTTTGAGGAGCGTCATTATCAATCCAAGACTTGTTTAGACCATTGATCACATTCTTTTCATTGGTTTTGTTATTTTTTTTATTTATTTTTAATCAATTCACCCCAGTCAAGGTGATAATGCCACTAAGATGCAAGGGGCTACTGGGAGTGAAAGAGAATGAGAAGACTTTAGAAGGAATTGGAAACCCAATCCTAAACAGGAAACAAGGGATAAACCTCTACTCTTAGATGGGAGTGACAGAAAATGAAAAAGGCTTTAGAAGGAGCAAGAAACTCAATCCTAAACAGGAAACAAGTGATAAACCTCTACTTCTGTTCAAAAAAACAGAGAGAAGTGTGAATAGGATGATAGGTGAACCTATCTACTCTTCTGAAGGAAATAAATAAATAATTAGGGAATAAAATTTCAGAGTTTAGGTGTAGATGTTAGGAGTACAGAGTTGAATTAGACTTTAGAAGGAACTGGAAACCCAATCTAAAACTGAAAACAAGAGATAAATCTCTACTCCTGTTCAAAAATCAAGGAGGAGTGTGAACCGGACGATAGGCAAACCTATCCAATCCTATTAAAATTATTACCACAGTATTTTGACCAGTTCATTTTATGACCTTATTCAGCGGTACAATCTGGGTAGATGGTGTCTTATCACTCCTCTTTTTGTATTCTCACTGTCAAAACAAAAAGTGATACCCTCCTTTCATGTGAGTTATACACCCGAGGAAGGATGGTGAATAGATTGACTAAAATAGTAACAGCAAAGAAAAAAAACAAGATCAGCAGTACAAATGCATGTGTAGCATAACACTGTCAGTATGGAAAGTAGAATCAGTGAACTAAGTTCAAGTTCTGGCCTGTCCTCGGTAAAGACATAACTCAATCTCTTCTACCTCCACTTGTGTGTTAAATAGCAGGTAAAATAAGCTCTCCAGTCTTGGATGGCAACTAATCTAAGAAAAGGAAAACTTAGAATTTTAAACTGTGAAGAAGGCAACAGGAAACCACTCTGCTATCTTTCCCTAGAATGCATAGCAATTTACAGTTAATAAAGAAAAGGAACCTGTAGAAAACCATGATTGCCTACACCCTGAAGGAACATACCATTTTTAAAAATGTTCAAATTACTTTTAGAATAACTCATAATCCAATTATGTTCATTTTTTTTCTCTCACAGTAAAAATGAGCTGTTCGTATGTGAAAACTTGAAATAGTTATGATGATTATTTTTAATGTCCACATTTTTGCTTGTAAAATAATTGTAATCTGGTATATACAACTTTGCTTAATATAAATTCATCTGGATATTTATGATCCTCAGCCTAGACTGAAAATGGTGGCAGGAAGATTATGTTGTGCCAGTCTTGTAAGTGGGGAGCACTTGTATACCTTCAAAAATTGGTATTCAAAATCTTGGTTTTAATTTGGTTTCACTGCTGGAGCAACTAACTCGGCTACCAAAAACCAAATCCCTTGAGAACTTTCAACAGCAGTAACATTTAAAATGGATATCACATGTAAATCAAAGAGAAAATAATAACATAGTCAAGATGTTGACATTCCACACTACTTCAAATAAAAGGTTAGGAAGGAAACCCTCATCAATACTGGAAAGACCAATAACAGCTAATGAACTTGAGAAACCTATTTTTCCGAAAAATTATTTTAAGTGAAAGATTTTATAAATTCCAACTGAAAATTGTACTGGACGATTAATGAATAAGTGCAGAATGTTTCCTCATAAGGAAATGGCTAATATTACCAATATCATTAGCATATAAGACACGTTAAGAAAATGTTTAAGGAAGAATTAAACTTCACAGAATCATTTGAAAGATCATTTGGTGGGGGGGGGGGTGATGATTGTAACCACTCCACTATGAGTTATAGTTCAAATAATAGTTTTCATAGAAAGAATTTTTAATTTGTTTGTACTATTGAGAGCATTTAATAATATTAATAATACTAATACTATGTTATAATTACAAACATGTAATGGCTGTAGTAATGATGTAGGTCTTTGAATGGGATGGAATACAACAAATCTCCATAGCAACATCAACTGGTCTAAATATAGATTTAATTCAAAAATACTATAATTTTAATTCTGTTTTTTCTTTTTGTATCTAGGAAGCAAAAGAAGTTGAGGTAGAACTACTGATTATTTCATGTCTTTTTTAAACATTTTTTAAAGAAATATTTTATAGCAGCCAAAAGGCTCATTATGGAAATCTTATTTGTTTTTTAGATTTCATGATGACTATAGCCTTATCAGCATCACTTTTTAAGGTTTTTTTCTTTTTAAAGTTATAGTTAGAATTCTATACATTTGTAAAAGAATATCCAGTAAAATGGACAGTACTTGTTTGTGTCTATGGAATTTAGTGTGTTAACATATATAGATATAAAAAATAGGATACATGAAAGCCAGATAAATGTTGAACATTTTTAAAAAATTATTTAAGCATTAACATTTGGTGACTTTACATGAGTATTTAAAAAAAAAAAAATTCAAAGATAGTCATTTTTCACTTTTTTTCATTTTTTTTATTTTCATTTGTATTTCATTTTTTCCATTTTTCATTTGTGGTTCTTTTTTCATTTTTATTTCTTTTTTTCTTTTTATTATTTTATATTTATTTCTTTTTTTCTTTTTTCATTTTTGCTTCTTTCATTTTTCATTCAAAAGTTCCATTTATGTTTTATAAATGCTCATGTAAAAGAATGAAATGTTAACACTTAAATAAAAAAATATGTTTTCAGCATCCAACTGGTTCTCATACCATTTTCACTTATTTGTTGGATATTTCACATCAACCATTTATCACATATAAATATGTACACATTTTAAGTTCTTTTTTTATTTTTTTGAGACGAAACTGGAATATATAATCAATCTTATTGAGTTTCTGATGTCAATGATTTTAGAACTTTGATTTGTCTAACAAAAAAGATAATATACAAAGTCACATAAAACAAATACTACTCAAGTTTTGATACACTGCTTGAAGCTAAAATATTGAATTTGCAACAGTTCTCTTGGACGAATGTAGTTAAGTTTCTATATTTGACACCTTTAGAAACCAAGGCTGGTTAAATGCTGTCCAAATTAGCCCAAACTTTGAATAAAACTGAACAATCTTATCAGGCCAGTGTGATATAAAGAAATCAAAA